AAGAAAGAAAGAAAGAAAGAAAGAAAGAAAGAAAGAAAGAAAGAAAGAAAGAGAGAGATGATAAACATAGGAAGACAGATGGATAGAGACAGACAGATTTGGATGGATGGATGGATAGATAGATAGATAAATAGATAGATAGAGATAGAGGGATAGATGATAGACATAAGGAGACAGATGGATAGACAGATATTATAGACAGAGAGAGACAGATATGGATGGCTAGAGACAGATTTGGAGAGAGAGAGAGACAGACAGAAACAGACAGACAGACAGATGATAGACATAAGGAGATGGATAGATAGATATATAAGATAAACAAATGAACAAATAGATGATAAAATAGACAGACAGATATGGATGGATGGACAGACAGATAAACAAATCAATAGATTCAGGCCACCCAGAGTGTCCCTCCAGGTTGCCTTACCAGACCGTGATTTCCAGACACCTTCTTCACCACCGGAGCCATCTTGGGAAGCGGGGCGGGAGGTTTTGCCCGCCCGGTGCCCCCTGCCAAGTTCTGGGCCCCAGGTGGGTCGAAGATGGGCCCCAGCAACTTCTGGAGATCCGGGCTGCAGAAGCGCTTGGGATCCAGCTGCAGTTCCTCCTCGCTGATGTTGGCCGGGCGCAGGAAGGCCAGGATTTTGGGACCGCGAAGTTCTGGGGGAGCGAAAGCGTTGGGGGGTTCAGTTAGGGGAGGGGGCAACCCCCCACACCCATTTCACACCACCCTCTTCCCTCACCAAAGCTGAGATTGATGATGGTGTCTCCGCTGTTGGGGTCCATCTCTTCCAAGGCGCTATCGGAATCCAGCCCTTCGAGGCAGGGCGGGGGCAGCCGGCGATGCTCGCCTTGGCGGTCCGTTTGCTCCAGGGACAGGACCAGGCCGTTCTCTTCCACTTGGCTACAGAAAAGAAAGGGGGACAATGTGGAAAATGGACACCGTCGGTTGGATGGAGAGAGTTTCTGCGGCTCTTGACAACATATCGTTCAAATTTGTTCAAACCTGGCAAGAAGGGAGCAATGTGGCTTACGAGAGAGAAAAGGGCCCTGATCCCTTTCATTAGTTGCAGTTGGGAGAACAGGATATGCACATGGCTCCTTGCTGGAAGCAAAGCATACATTATCTTGGTTGTGGCTTAGCTGGGTTTTGGCATCCTCCCAACTGTGGTTGCCGCATTATCTTGTGGAAGTCTGCAATTTATCATCCTGTTGTGTTAATTACTTCAGTGTGGTTTGTATTGTTTTTTTTTATTTCTAATTATCTTTACTTTGGGTTCAGACTGCATTTCTGCCCTTCGTAGACTGTTTTTTGAAGAGTTCAATCTCCAGCCGAGGATAATTGGACATTGGGGGCCAAGTTGGAGGCATTAAAGGGAATTCATTCTACTTTTGTGACTTTGTTATTTTTGTGTCATTCCCCGGGTCGTCACAACACTTATATGTTTATATGTCATGCTCATACTTGTTTTCTCATACATGCTTGACAAACTAAACTAAATAAATGAAAACAAAGGAGGTTTGGGAATAGGAACACATGTAAAATCGAAGGGCGGGTGGGTGAGTGTTAGGGGATGGTGTCCATCTTGAAGTTTTTGACCTCCCCCCGGGGAGTGTGGGGAGGGGGTGGGCGGCTGACCTCAAGACGAAGTGAATGCAGACGATGCTCTCGGGTTGGGAGTTCTTGCTGCTGGAGATGACGGTGGCCTCGGTCTGGATCCAGATGTAACCACCATTCCTGGCTAGGAAGCGGTACTGCCCGGTCACAGCTTGGCCCTTGCTTAGCACTACCGATAGGGAGTGAAAGACAGACAGTCTAGAACGGACAGACAAACGGATAAGCGGGAGGGGAGATGGGGAAGAGACTTTAAGGCGGAAGAGGATTGGCTGCACGTTTGCTCTCGCGGGGAAGATAGGACGGGAGGGTGGGTGGATCCCGAGACCCCTTCCACGCCGACCTTCCACCCTCCCACCCCCAAGCCTTCGTCGTCCAGACGGGCCGTGGACGGCAGCAAGAGGAACCCACGGGGGGATGGCAAAGAACCGACCGGGCCCTGCAACACGCTGGACTTACGGGTGTTGATGCTCTTGCTGACGGAATCCGAATCCAAGGCGTGGATGTATTCATAGAGGGAGCAGCCAAGCAAGCTCTCGGAGGTGTAACCGGCCATCTCGACAATCCTGGCCCAGGAGGAGAGGCGGGACAATCGTCAGGAAATCATATTCTGGCTGAGTTAAGTTAGAGCCACTAACCTTGGCCACTTTAAAGACCTGTGGACTCAAGTCCCAGAATTCCCCAGCCAGCACCCAGTTTGATCGTGCGACTGTGACGATGCTACGATGCTCATAAGCGTGAGAACTGGTCATCAATCACCTTGTCAGCTCATCAAACATTCCTGTGCCTGATAGTTGCCATTAAAAAAAGGGGGGAGGGAGGGAGGAAGGAAATCTGGAAGAGCAGCGCAGCAGGTTTGAAAGCGGAAGTACATTCCAACTCTTTATCTTTAAAAGATTGTAGCTAAACTACCAGAGTTTTTGCCCGCGAATATATTTCATGGGAGAACATGA